AAGAGCTGAGACGTGTTCTACTGAAAAACTAATACCATACGCAAATGCATTATTTTAGGTACTTGAATCCGTCACAAACATGTTAGTTATTAGAAAAAAAGGTAACTGTGAGCACAAAATTAATTTTAAGAAGAAAATTAAGCAGATTGTTTCTAGAAACCGTCGTTTTAGATGAATGGACAGTGCGGTCCCCGTCGCCTCTTTATTGAATGCATCTACAGCCTCACATTCACCAACATCCCACCCCTTTTCTTTCACCGACCGCCACCACCCCTCCAAACTCTATTAAAGAAACAAAGAGTATATTAAAAGCTATATAAAATCAAAAAGTTTTTTTTTTAACATTTTAAACTATATTAAATTATAAAAATAATTAAATGATAGGTGACTTGATTAATATTAGAAGTCTATTATTGTTTAATAACTTATAATTTAAATTATATAATATTTTTCTAATTAAAAGTTTTATTATATAAAAAAGATTCAAACATTTATTTTTAATATATTTGATGATATGTTATTAAAAAAAAAGAATAATCTTTTAATTTTTCAAAATTCTTTCTTAATACTTAAAATTTAAATTTAAAATATGTAAATAAAAATTTTAAACTTTTAATCTATTGAGTTCAAGATATTTTGAGATTTTCTTTTTAAAATGTGTTTTATAATTTAAACTATACTAAATTATATAAAAAAATAAAAATTAAAATGTATTAACATTTAAATAATAGTGAATCTTTTTATATATTAATTTATTAAATATATTTAAATAATTTTTATAAAGAGTTATGCCATTTTAATTATTAGAACTCTTTATTTTTTGTAATCTCATTGTATAATTAAATTATTGCTATAGTTCATTCACTAATAAGTTTTATTTCTCTTAGATTTAATTTAAAGGTTAAACTTTTAATTTAATTTTTCAACTATTATACGGATTCTAAAATTAGTCTATGAAATAAAAATTTTTTGATTTAATCCTTAAAATTTTTAAAATTAGCTCCAAGTTATTTCTTTCGTTAAAAAATAGCAACATGTTTGTTAATGCTGGGAGGTTGGCCCAATATTAACTAAAGGTCTAATAAAATTCCAAAGACAAATGAGAAGTGGAAATATGCCCACATGGTCAACGATGTGTGAGCCAATTGAAGAATGATATGTGGCATTGGTATCATAGATAAAGGTTATAAATATTCATCTCCACTTTTATTGAAAACAATAACTCTACTATACTTTTTTCTTTACAATATTTAGCTTTCGAGAATTTTTCTCTCTATAGTCATTGAATATTATTAATTTAATTATTGGAGTGTTTTCCTGAAGACACTTTCTCGAAACTTTCAAATAGTGGAGCAGTTCAAGAACTCAACAATATTAGAGTTTGTGATGTTGCCCAACCAGTTTCTTAACTATAAAATAACTATAGAATGTTGTTACTTAATAATTACATGTCACGTTAATAACAACGTTACATTTTAATTATTTTTTAACAAAGAGATCAATTTAGAGTCAAATTTAAAAAATTTTAGGATCAGAAATTTTTTTAATTCAAGAACTAATTTAAAGATTCATATAATAATTGAGGGACTAAATTAAGAATTTAACCTAATTTAAATCACAAAAACCAAAAACTCAAAAAAAAAAAAGGAAGATGACATGTATTCACATCTACGAGAGATTAAAGGCCTGTTTTGTGTAAATTGTGAGAGTTTTTGTTTTTTGAATATTGTTATGAGTGATAAGTTTAAATTTTTTTTCTCAATAAAAATTTTTTAAATATAGAAAAAAATGAATAAAAATAAAGTTTATAAAAAATTTAAATTTAAAATTTTTAAATTTTTACTGTTTAAATTTTTTTTTAAATTAAAAAAAATATTTAAAAATATAAAATTTTTTAAAAAAAATTTAATTTATAAAATATAAATAATATTAAAAAACCAAAAATCGAGCTGATCCAAACAGATCATAAGAGACGAGAGAGAAGTATTTAAATATGACCCCTTTTTTAAAATTAAAATTAAAAAAAAAAATTCCACTCACCTAAGCATAAAATATCCAACCGCGACTCCAACCCGTCCATTTGTCTCCAAGCAATCATGCTCGAGGAATCGATGTCTGTGCCCTCCATTTGGGCCTCCATGTTCAGCTGGTGCACTCCGGCCGTCCTCTTCCTCTTCCTCAATCTCATTGTTGGCACCATTTTCATTACTTCCGGCTTCCTCTCCAACAAATCCGGCGACACTGAACAGCAGAAGCAGCCAGACTCGCCGCACCGCCTCGCCAGATCTCCCTCTATTCTTCAAAGGCTCAAATCTATCAATTTTCGTAATTACAGATCTCAAGAACCCATCACTGGCTTTGAAAAATCTCCCCATCTGGATGTCGATTCCCAATCTTTCTCTTTTCAGCAGACCCCGGAGCAGAAACCGCAAACTTTGCGGTCTAGATCTCCGTCTATGTTGCAAAGGCTCAAGTCGATTAGCTTCTCCAATTACATATCTCAAGAACCCACCTCTGATTACCCGGAAACAGCCCCAAAATCTGATACCCATTACCCGCCGGAGCAAACCTATGAGCAAGACCAGCCCCAAATTGAACAAGAAGAAGAAGTAAACGAAGAGAAGCAGCAAATCGAAGAAGAAGAACAAATAATGGACCAGGTATACAGTAAGCTGAAGGAAGCGGACGTCAAGAGGACCAAATCCGACACCAAACCCGCATCCGGTGAAATACCCACAAAACTGCCTCAGAAGATGAAGAAATCGGCGAGCGCAAAGTCCGCGTTCTCGCACTCTGAGGAAGAAGACATCGTCGAGAGTCGCCGACCGCAAACCGCGAGGGCAAGCAAGGCTAAAGTGTCGGAGGAGGACGACGAAGGGGTGGATGCTAAAGCCGATGATTTCATCAACAAGTTCAAGAATCAGCTGAAGTTGCAGAGGATCGATTCCTTTATCAGGAATAGTGGAAGCGGAAAATGAAGCATAATTAAATTTGAATTATTTTTTTTTTCTAATTTTAATTTTTCCTGTTAATTTTAGGGGGTTTATTGGAATGTAATTTAAATATAGATCTACTGTTTCTAATTTCAGTTTCTATATCTGCATCATGTCAATTTGTTGAGCTTTCGGTTAAAAAATATGCCATTAATTACCATTTTCCAAGTTTCCAATTTCTCTGGTGTTGGGTTATTTTGTCATCCTACTTCTGCAATCCGCCATTTCTGTCTCTGGGTGTGGGTACTGGGAGTGGAGAGTGGAGAGTGGAGAGTGGAGAAAGATTTGTTTCAGGAATATTACTAAAATGTCCATGGGCTGCCGACGCAAATTGGATGCAAAGGGGAAGGGCAATTTGGTATTTGTATCGGGCGGAGTATCTTGTCCCTGTCATGATTCGCCGTATTTTGTAGGTGCTTGTTTGTGCTGCACGTGGAAATTTACCTACAACGTGCATGCAAAAAAATACAAAAAAAAAATAAAAAAATAAAACTTAGTTGATTCCAGCCAGCCGGAAAGCAACAGATTTTTGGTTTTTATTTAGGTAATGGGGCGAAAAATTAAAGGTGTAATTTGGGGTTATGTAATGATTTTTAGGGAGAATCTTGGTATTGGTGGGGCTGATGAATCTTGGTTGGTCCAATTTTTTAACAGGAAATATACGGAAATCAGGGGATAGAATCTTTCTTTATGTAACTCCTTTATATAATTTTATACAATATATTATTTATTAATTCTTTTTATTACTGTTCAAAAAAAATTCTTTTTATTATATTAAAAATTTTAACATTATATATATTTATTTAATGATATGAAAAAAAATTTTACCAAAAAAAAATGATATGAAAAAAAAATTACATATTAATTTTAACTTTAAATTACATGATTTTATTTAATTAAAACTTAATTCAAAATTTAAAAAATTATCTTATTAAATGTTAATATATTATAATATATAATAAATTTTTAAATTTAAATCTCAATATTTAATAAGATTAGATTTTAATTTTTAGATATAAGTTATGATTCTAATTATTTTAAAAAAAAATGAGACTGATGCACAATAATTTTATGAAAAAATTATAAATAAATTTACTCATATATATATTTTTATATTGGTTATACAATAATAAGCATTCCTCTTCCACCCCTTATCCTAATATACCTGCATGCCATACAATTCGAATTTAAAACCTCTTATTTTTAACGAAAAGAGATTATCATCAAACTATTTAGGTGATTTACAATTTACTCATATATTATTAATTAAAAAAGAAATGTATGATTATATTAGTCCAACTTTGAAGATATGTGGGTCCAAATTAATACGGCCGAATTGTTGTTGTATGTATACTAAGGCTAAAGTCAGCCTAAACTTAAAAGTAGACATGGACATCAAAGCTACCATGTATAATTTTATATTAAGAATCAATGGACCCAATTTTGCGGCTACAATCATGTATTTTGAGAAGAGAATCCAATGACTCCATCTAAATATGAAATTATTTAAGAAGCAGTCGGTGATTAGCTCTGAAAATTTCGGTTGTCAGGTTCAGGATAATCCAACACAACAAAACTAAACACAGAATAAGATGGAAGGGGAGTGGCAGTATTGGAGGGATTCCCATTCCCTACTACCCGGCTCCAGATAGAACCGGCCCACAATCCAGTGGTCTTTTCTGGCCCAACATCACCCCAATGGAAGAATTGGGCCGTTTATTAGACCCAAAATTTCGATAGCGGACAAGAACGGCCCATTGTCGAACACAAAACGACGTCAAATCGGTTGCAAATTGAAAAGACATAACGAGAATCGGTTCCGATGATGGACAGAGTTGAGGGAAAGTGAAAGCAAAGAACAAAGGCACAGAGAAAGCAACCTTTTTTAGGGGGGAAAAGTACACAGTTTTCCGGCAAGAGAAAAAGGAAGGAAGATGGTGTGGATGGCGAATCAACAGTTGGGGGGAAGAGGGAAGAAAAGTCGGATATGGGGAGCAGCATTTCTCTGTTGGCTTTTCCTCATGTTGATCACTCCCAAGATCCCTCTATCCCCTCACAACCCTCTCTTCGCTGACATGCGCAATTTTCTTGGTATTTCTTCTCTCTCCCTCACTTTTGTCTTTAGTTATCCTGAATTGGGGTATCATTTGATCATGCTGATGAAATGCCGGTTTTTGTTATGTGGGTATTTGATAGGAGTGCCTAACACGTTGAATGTGATCTCGAATTTCCCTTTTCTGATTGTGGGTGTTCTGGGATTTGTTCTATCTCTCGGAGGAAGCTTTTTCAACATCAGGTTTCTGGGTTTTTCTTCTTTTTGGTTTAGTGCTACTGTCACTCATTAGTTTGGTTCTTTAATTTATGATCATATTGATTGATTGATTGATTGATTGATTGTGGTGTTTGGGGATGTGTTGCTTGCAGTTTGCGAGGAGAGGTGTGGGGTTGGGTGCTATTCTATGCGGGAATAGCCAGCATGGCTTTCGGGTCTGCTTATTATCACCTTAAGCCTGATGAGAGTAGAGTGATGTGGGACACCTTGCCGGTTAGCATTGGAATTTTACTTTACAACGCTTAGTTTTAGATGCTTGGTTCTATAACTGCTCTGTTTTGTTTCTGGAAAATGAGGGTGGAGGAAAGTTATTTCCTTTTCAGAATATGTTGATGATTTATCAGCACAATCATTAGAAGCTGAAAATGCCATGTCCTCTATTCAAGGGAACAAAAAGTGTATTCTGTTGCAAACCTTAAAAATTATAATTCAACTTTGGACTTGGCTTCTGTTTGGTGTTTCACTACTTTGTATTTTTGTTGCATGTTTGTTAATTGACTTCGCTAAATGCAGATGATGATTGCATATTCCTCACTTTTCTCTAGTTTTATTATCGAGAGGCTGGGTGAGAGAATCGGCCTAAGTTGTCTGCTGTCACTTCTAATAGTTGCTGTTATCAGTATAATTTATGCAAGGTTAGTTTCTACCTTCCAATTTATTGTTTTCCTACTTATGTAATGGGTTCAAACTTATATATCCAATTTTCTCTAGTTTTCTGCTAAATATGATTTGCTAGTTGGTTGCAGAACATTTAGTGATCTTCGGTTGTGCATAACATTCCAGTCAATTCCTTGCATAGCAATTCCTATCATGACATTTTTGTTCCCACCTAAATATTCTCATTCAAGGTACTGGCTTTGGGCAGCAGGTATGTTGTGTGTCTTATTCTTTCTTCCCCTGTTTTTTAATTTGTTGCATGGTATTTAGCAACGAATATAACAAATTCAAGTTCCTGCCTAAGAATTGTACTACTGTTTGAGAAGTCTATAAGATTATGAACAATTCTGGAATCAGATGAGGGGGAATACTGATTTTAGAACTTTTAGTGCATTTCTCTTGGGCCGTAAGTGGATAACAAAAATTCTCCATCTCATGCATTTTTTTAACTATATTCCACTTATGGGTATAAGTATAACCTGTGTAAAATTTATGCTCTCTATTTCATACTTTATGAACTTTTAATCAAAGACAAGTCAGAGTACAGTTTTTTGTATCTGGTAAATATCATGCTCCAAACATGGTGAAGTTTTTGGGGCTATGTTGTGCCTTGTCTATCTTTATGGAGTGGTCCTTTTGGACAACTATCATTTAATGTTTAGTGCTTTTGTTTCTAAATTTCTCTTTCAGGGTTTTATACTTTTATTTATTGAAGGTTGCCAGTTGCCAATGATTTATCATATCTCTGAAGCATTTGATAACTATTTGACACAGGGGCTTGCATTGTAGCCAAAGTAGAAGCTCTTGCTGACATGAAGATATACCGTGCAAATCGTTACATAATCAGTGGACATTCCTTGGAGCACTTGTGTTCAGCCATTGCCCCTGTTTTGCTTACGGTTATGCTTATGCATAGAAGCATCAGATTTCAAAGGTATTTCAATTTTACCGTTTAAGGAGGTGTCAATTTGATGCCTCGTGTAAATTAGTTATGAGGTTATTTCAATTTCTGTGGTAGAGACTGGTTATTTTTCTCCAAAGCATTAGGAAATCATATCAGGAAAGTTTTAGTGTTTACAGGGGCTTAATATCCTTCTCTTTTAGTTCCCTACCCCTTTTTTTAATATTGGGGGAGGGGGGATTTGAACCCATCTCTTTTGGATGGAAAAGATACACCTTAGCCTTTGAGCTACTAGCTTGGGCGCAGTTCCCTACCCTTCATTGCATTCAACAATCCTGATTTTCCTTCTGTGTGAAACCCAATTGGGAAGATTGATCGTTTTCTGTTTTTCTTTTCCCTTGTTACTGCACTTGATATACCCTCACCTACTGCTGCTGGTGTTCATTGTTCTTACTTGTTAAATGGATTTAAAACAGATTAGGTGACCTCAAAGGGCGTCCCTGAGGTAGAGTTTCATCATGGCATTCCCAAACAGCTCTTAGCATTGGCAGAGAATTTTTTTGTAAAGGGATCATGGGAGGTAACATATAATTTAATTAGCATTCACCTTTCGCAGACAACCTCCATGCCAGTGAAGAATTTAACCATGCATATGATTATTCTTCTGCCTTTGTTCTTTTTAATGTGCTGGGGAGGGGTACAGTTTTTTAGGTTTGGTTGTTGAATGACAGATCCTAGAGACCTTATCCTCATAACTTAATGTAGGCTTTCATGATCAACAGGGCAGCCCCAATGTCCAATCTTTTTCTGTGTGCTCATATTCCTTGGAACCAATTGTGCTCTCTTTTACTTATAATCTGTGGGCAGTCATGCTTCTTTTGTGCATCCATGGCAATAATTGGAATTTCACATAGATAAATTTAAGCCACATGCAGGCACATACAGTCTACTTCCATGACAAACATATGCATTTCTTCACATGTATCTTTTTTCTTCCTTTTGCACATTTTCCTTCTTTGTCACCACTTTCACATGCATATCCATGTGCATAGAGGCTCATTTTCATGGCTTGAAATGATTTCTTCTATTGTCCCAAAGTATAGAAGTTCATCCAGCTGTCAATATACGCAATTTTCATTCCCCAATAAATTATTGTTATTATAAATTTTTTTGTGCATTGACTACTTGGTAGTAGATAGGTTTAAATTTATGATTTTAACTTTAAATTAAGATTTTTAAATTGGCGGGTGCTAATTCAACCAAAGCTCTTGTTGGTATTATTATTATTTTTTAATCAATCTTAGTCTCATCTCCTTTAAATCTAGGACTTGTGAGCTCATGTATATTGAAGGGTGCTGGTTTTATTCACGAGTC